CCTCAAAGCGGCTAACATCTCCTTTCCCTTCCTCCCCCACAACAAACACTCTATGAGGTGAGTGGGGCTGAGAGACTTCAGAGAAGTGTGACTGGCCCAAGGTCACCCAGCAGCTGCATGTGGAGGAGCGGGGAAGCGAACCCGGTTCCCCAGATTACGAGACTACCGCTCTTAACCACTACACCACACTGGCTCTTCTTACTTCCCACACAATGCCTTCTTACTTCCCAGAAAGAAGCTAATTCTAAGTCCGAAGAGAATGTTTTAATTTAGAAGAAACCCGCTCCCCCTGCCTCCGTTTTGAGCCTTACGTTTTCCATCTCAATTCCACATTCCTCAAGGAAGGACCTTAGGAGCTTTCCTGCAGCCTGAGAGACGGCTCTGTCTTCCACTGTCAGGTTGTCAATCGCCTTCAACACGACTTCATTGATCTGGCTGGGCGTGAGGTGCTCCCCAAAAGCCTGGCACAAAGAAGAAAGAAGAGGGAGTTTTCTTCTGCTCCACACTCTGACCACGTTTCAGTAGTCCAAGGGTGCCTTCACAAACCAAGTGAAAGACATCTCCACTCTGCCTTGAGAGGGTTGAACTAAGTGACCCCCGCATCCCTTCCAACTCTACAATTCGGTGATTCTATTTATGTGTTTATTTAAGTAGCTGAAAGATTTTACAACAAACAAAACTAAAAGTCAGGTGACGCCTTGCTATTTTCGATCCACATCTTAAATTGGTTATGACATTGGAACATGAAGAGGTTCAATCTAAAATCAGACTAGAAATTTTTAAAAAAATTCTCGCAGGAACAGAGAGGGTGAATAATAGTGGCTATCCGTTATATAACCAATGCCAAACAGACTGGGTGGGAACCTGCCGGCTGTGTGCTTAGTTCTTAATATACAACAAAAAACACCCACCACAAGGTTGGCATAGTTCATTGGCTTGGCAGTGCCTCGTGAAAGATGCACCGAATGAGTCAACTTTTCCTATTCTTTTTCCGCCCTGAGGAGCCCATGCATGGTTCTCTCTCCTCCCCGTTTTAGTCTCATGAGGTAGGTTAGACTGAGAGACTGTGACTGACTTGTGAGTTTCAGGGCTGAGTGGGGATCTGAACCCTAGGTCTCCCAGCACCTGGTAGAATTTCAATAAGTAGAATTCTGCATGCAGTTTAGGCTACCGGGCACTTGTCTTTGAGCAATTGATTCTAATACAATGCATTTCTGAATGTTATTTACACTAATAGCTCGCGCATGTATTTTTTTGCACACTGTTTGGCATTGCGAAATTCAAGGACATGTGAATTTCAAAGGCAGGTTGTGTTTCAGTTCTCCTATTGTTTCTGAAAGGCCTCGATTTGATAGTTTGGCTTCCAGTGTGAACTGCTCTGAATCTCTCCCTCATCCCTAGAAGGCGTGGGCTGCCTGAGGCAGGCTGAAGTTAGTGGGCAGGGCCCCATTGGCCCGAATGAGCAAATCTTTGCTAACTGGAGTGTGCGGTCTTAGCAATAAAGAGTACAAAAAGCCACCCCTACCTTGGCCACTTTTGCGATGTTGTAGTGGAAGAGGGAGGGCCCAGGGATAAAGAAGTCTTCTCGGACCCATCTGACCATCTTGCCTTTCTTATTTTTATTCCCCCTCTTCTCCAGTTCCTTACCTAAGCAGGGTCGGGTTTTGGAATATGCATGCAAAAGAAACCAGCATTAGTTCTCCCTGCTCAAAACCTCCAGTTTTCCCACTGGGACCAACAAAAACAATTATCGATTTCACCTCAAAAATTATAATTCAGAACTGGGAAAAAGGTTCAGAAGGGGGCAACCAAAAGGACTGGGGTGCTTGTGGAGCTGGTTGCAGCATTTGGGGGGGGGTTCCGTTTAGAAAAATGGCGAGGAAGAGGAGACACAATGTATGGCATGGAGAAAGTGGAGAGAGAAAGCTTTCTCTCTCACCGTCAGAACATGAGAACAACTGGACCTCCAATGAAACTGAAGTTTCAGGATGGTCCTTCTTCTTGCAGTGCACAGCTAAACTCTGGAACTCCCTGCCACAGGAGGCACTGATGGCCATGGACCAAGATGGCTTTCAAAGAAGATGAGGCAAATTCATGGAAGAGAAGGCTACCCATGGCTATTAGCCAGGATGGCTATGCTCTGCCTCCATGGTCAGAGACAGCAAAGTACAGGAGTAGAAAGAGCTTGAATTCTGCTTGCTGGATTCCCACAGGCATCTGGTCAACCCCTGTGGGAACAGGATGCTGGACTGGGCTGGGCCAGAAGGCTTTTCTGATGTTCTTCAGCAGTGAATCCCTCCCCCAAGACTGCCCTCTCGTCTCTGGCCAACAGGGTGTTGGCGTTAGGCCAGTGCTGGCACGAATTCTGGCCCTCCTGAACTCCCTGATCAACCCCAGCAGCAGCCAGCATGGGCAACACTCAGGGATGATGGGGGTTGGAGCAGCCTCTGGAGGGCTACAGACCTCCCACCCTGCGGCTTACAAGAAACAAGCCATTTCCCAGCATCGCCCTCACCCATTTTGGCTATCAAGATGTAATGGAGATGATATAATGCCTCCGCTGACTGCAGGCCAATCTCCTTCACATTGTCTGTGAGGTGAAGGGACAAGAGCGCCACCAGCTGCCCAAGAAGGGGGAAATCCTGGGATACCTAGGAGGTGGAGAGAGAGAGATGCACAGTCAGCCCTCGTCCCACAGAGCCCAGCAAGAGAAAACCATCTGGCATGCTTTCAGTCGGCAAAGGTGGCAGAGGGGCGCAGGGCAAGAGAGCTGTGCTAGGTGGCCCACCCTAGGCTTGCCCCAGGGCTTTTCCCCAGCCAGAACTCACTGGAACTCAGTTCTGGCTTGTTGAATGGTTGAATGTGAATGGCTGTGTCAGCATTTGGGTGTAGTATATAAGGAGCAGCACCTAGCTCTCCCATTACCCTGGGGGATGGTGGGTGGTTGGGTTCTGGTTTGTTGTTGATCTGTCCTGGAGTGTCAACACAAGGGGCTTGTGAAGAAGGCGCAGCAGAGACTGTGCTTTTGAGAATTCTAAGGAAAAACCATCTTCCGCAAAACTGCTGGCCTGCCTTCTATCACTGTGCCATTGAGAGTGTGCTCACTTATGCTTATGTGTTGGGTACGGAAGTGCTGTACTACCCGGGACATGTTGGGGTTGTGCAGAGTTGTTAGGGCAGCAGAGAGCATGTTGGCTGCCCACTCTCCACCTTAGAGCAGATTTATGCCACAAGGTGCCATAGGAAGGCACTGACATAGTAAAAGATCCATCGCATCCTGGTCACTGTCTCTTCGAGCTCCTGCCGTCGGGACAGAGATACAGGACAATGAAGACAAGAACGAGCCGTCTTAAGAACAGCTTCTTCTCCAGAGCGATCTCGGCCCTGAATGGGAAGCCTGGACTTTGAAAGTCATCTAATCTTCCTTGCTGTATTATACTGTATTGTTTTAATTAGTGTTTTTATAGTTGTTTGATTTTGTGTGGAGTGCCCTACCTGGGTGGATGGAGCAGCCAAGTAATTTCGTTGTCCCCGAGAGGGGGCAATGACAATAAAGATATTTAACAAACCAATTAAGAACCTGTTTACTGACCGGGGCGGGGAATTTGTTTCTGGGGATTTTGAGAATTTCCTGGAAGCGCAGGGACTACTCATGAGTTATCTTGCCCCCGAAGTCCCTGGCAAAATGGGCTTGTTTGAAGTTGTGCAGCGTGACCTGCAGGCAGGGGTTAAAACTTATCTGCACAATGCTAATCTGCCCAAAGTCTTTTGGGCTGAAGCGCTCAATGCCTTTTGTTACGTTAGAAATCGCAGTTATCATTCTGGTTTAGATGTCACCCTGTTGGGATACTGCCAGGGAGACAAAGGCCATCATGCCCCCATGTCGACTCTGGACGATCCATCAACCTCCCGTAGGAACGCAGTATCAGTCAATTAGCGACACAAGCCTCAGAAACAGCTTTCCACATTCCAAGGACTTGTGCATGGCCCTTTGCAGAGTTCGCACAACAAAAGATGCACTCAGGAGAGCATTATTTACAACTTTATTCAGCATTGGTCAGAACAAAGAAAAAACATGACTGCTTGCCTGCGTGTTCAGGCACAGAGAGAGAAACAAAAGCTATGTACAAAACATAAACTTCCTGTGAGCCAGAAGTACGCAGACTGTGACTCAAACAACAGCCTGCTCCCTGTTAAGGTGGAACGGAAATATCCTAACATCCTCCCCCTTTCCGTGTAACCTGTAGTACCTGTGGTTCAACCCAATTGCAACCTCTGTACGTAATCCTTAAGTTGTTCTCTGTTAACAACCTTAGACAACAGATCAGCAGGAATTTCATTTCTGGCATGTAGGACACCTGAATGAGTCCTTTCTGAATACACTCTCTTGCGACGATGTAGCTTAATCTGCAAGTACTTGGTTCTTTGCTTGCAACTCTCTGAGTTCAGCAAAAGCCAAACAGGATCTATTGTCTTGATACACTTGTATAGGACATTTCACAGAAACTCTGATGTCCTGAAACAGTTTATCAACCATTCACAATCCATGAGTGAAAATGACAAAGCATTGAGTTCTGCTTCACAGGAACTTAGGCTTAACTGTCATCTGCTTTTGCACAACCAAACAGACAGTGTTGTACATGTAGCATACTCCAGAAGTGCTTGTACCATCCGTGGTGTCACTCCATAACTAGCATCTGCAAAGATTTCAAGACCTCAGTCTCTGACTGGTGACCTCAGCCGTAGTGCAAAGTCTGTTTCAAATAGCGGCTATGTGCTTCAGAGCTTTCCAATCCTGAACAGTAGGATTGTTAGCATGTCTGCTAAGCAGGTTAGTGCTTACAGCTATGTTGTGGGATGTAAACACAGGAGCAGTCAATGACAACATTCCTAGAGTGTACATGTTAGAACATGGGGAGGGATGTCCAGTGTAGCAAGCAGGTAAACTTCCTGGGGACGGACTTCCTCCGCATGTGACCAGAGGTGGGTGTGGCCTCACCTGTGCAGGTAAATGATAAAGGCACAGGGCAGCCAGCCATTTCTCTCTCTGCCATCTTCCTTCGATGAGAAACATCCAAGGATGCCCTCTTGGCTCTCAGCCAAGAGAGACGGACTATCTTACTACAAGATAGATTCTGAGTGTATTTTACCTTTTTAAGCTGTCTGCCTTCTGGGATCATGTTGTGAACAGAACGTGAGTAAACTCTTTTATAAAGACTGTGTCGTGTCTTGTATTTTAAGAGGGAATAAAAGGGGAAATTACGAGAGTAATTATTATAGAGGTTCTAGCGAACCTGTGCAAGCGTTACCGTTGCGAACTTATTTTTTTTGTAATATATTTTTTATTGCTTTTTTTCCAAGGTCCGATACTTCATCAATAACACAGCAAAAGCGATTTTACAGAAAGAAAGAAAAAGTTTAAAAAGAGAAAGAAAAAATTCACATTTCCAGATCATTTTTCATAATCTACTGGACTTCCCCACATCTTCCACCCCCTGCATCTTCACAATAAAGAAAAATAAACAGCAAGTTGATACCTTGTTCATGCGTATTGTGCTTTCACCTAATTATATACTCTAAAATTTAGACTTTCACTGTCATAACTTAATTTCCACCATTTTCAAATCTCAATACTGAAAGCATGTTTTTCCCAAAACTTAGCAAATTCTCAACATTCATATAGCTATAATGTTTTTGTAGATAGTCCTTAAATTTTTTCCAATCCTCTTCCACTGCCTCTTCTCCCAGGTCTCGGATTCTGCCGGTCATTTCGGCTAATTCCATATAGTCCATCAGTTGCGTATGCCACTCTTCCAGCGTGGGTAGCTCCTGTGCCTTCCAATATTTGGCTATAAGGATTCTTGCTGCTGTAGTTGCATATAAAAAGAAGGTTCTATCCTTCTTGACACTCTCTGGCCCACAATGCCCAGAGGAAGGCCTCTGGTTTCTTGTGAAAGGTATACTTAAATACCTTTTTCAACTCATTATAAATCATTTCCCAAAAGGCCTTCACCCTCGGGCATGTCCACCAGAGGTGAAAGAATGTTCCTTCAGCCTCCTTACATTTCCAACTTTATTGTCAGACTGATGATATATCTTTGCAAGTTTGACTGGGGTCATGTACCACCTGTATATCATTTTCATAATGTTTTCTTTCAAGGCATTACATGCCGTGAATTTCATACCGGTGGTCCATAACCTTTCCCAGTCTTCAAACATAATGTTGTACCCAATGTCTTGTGCCCATTTTATCATGGCTGATTTAACTATCTCATCTTGAGTGTTCCATTTGAGCAACAAGTTGTACATTCTTGAAAGCACTTTCGTCTTAGGTTCAAGTAGTTCTGTCTCTAATTTCGATTTTCCACCTGGAAACCAATTTTTTGTCCTTTTTAAAAATCTCTTGAATTTGGGCATAGTGGAACCAGTCTCGCACCTTGCCTTTCAATTTTTCAAAACTCTGCAACCTCCAATTATCTCCACTCTTTCTATTATCTCACAGTATTTTGCCCAGCCACCCTCCATATTGAGTATTTTTGTGGCCTTAGCCTCCATTGGTGATAACCACCTCGGGGTCTTATTTTCAAGTAAGTCCTTGTATTTGGTCCAGACAATGAATAAAGCTTTCCTGACAATATGGTTTTTAAACAATTTATGGAACTTTACCTTGTCGTACCACAAATATGCATGCCACCCAAAAGCGTTGTTAAACCCTTCCAGATCTAGGACATCAGTGTTTTCTAACAAGAACCAATCCTTCATCCAGCAGAAGGATGCAGCTTCATAGTATAACCTTAAGTCCGGCAGGGCAAATCCCCCTCTTTCTTTGCGTCTGTTAGTATTTTAAATTTTATCCGGGGCTTTTTGCCCTGCCAGACAAACTTCATGATGTCCTTCTGCCACTTTCCAAAACATTCACTCTGTCCACGATCTGCAGGGTTTGGAACAAAAACAACATCCTTGGCATACATTCATCTTAACAGCTGCAATTCTTCCCAACAAGGAAAGTTTCAATCTTGACCAAGTTTCTAAGTCCTTTTGATTTCAGACCAACATTTTTCATAATTATCTTTAAACAAATTCAAATTTTTCCCAGTCAGATTGACCCCCCAGGTACTTCACTTTTTTAACCACATTTAATTCCGTTTCCTTCTGGAACCCATCTATTTCTGAAGATGTCAAGTTTTTTGCCAAGACCTTAGTTTTTTGTTTATTCAACTTGAATCCCGCCACCCGACCAAACTCATAGATTAATTCTAAAGCTCTTTTGTACTAGGTTCTGGCTCCTGTAGTGTTAAAACCAAATCATCTGCAAAAGCTTTCAGTTTATATTGTTTTCCTCCGACCTGTATTCCTTCCACCCGCTGATCCTTCCTAATCAAGTTCAGCAACACCTCCAGGACAGAAATAAATAACAAGGGTGATAAGGGGCACCCCTGTCGTGTCCCTTTTTCGATTTTGAACTCCTCTGTCACCACATTGTTTACTATCAGTTTAGCTTTTTGTTCTGAATAGATTGCTTCAATACCATTTTGGAACGCCCTTCCCACTCCCATCCCTTCCAAATTTTTCTTCATGAATTTCCAAGATATATTATCGAAGGCCTTCTCGGCGTCTATAAAAATCAAAACTGCTTTCGTGTTCAAATTTG